GCCTCCCTCCCTCCCTGCCTCCCTCTCTTATAGTGTTCCTGAAGCATCATGTAAAGGGTTTCACCTTCACCACATTCTCACCAGCAGCTGATGCTATTTATGTTTTTAGTTTCAGTTATTAGGGATGGGATAAGACAGAATGAGCCTTAACTTAAACATTAATTTCACTGATGGATAAGGATGTTGAACTGCTTTTTCATATATTTATTGGCAATCTGCACTTCATCTTTTGAGAATTTCCTGTCTCTTTCATTAGCCTATTTTCTTGTCTGGTTTGTCTGTTTTCTTTTTTTTAAATTTAGGTTATTTATTTCTTTATATATTCCAGGTGTCAATCCTGTATCAGATGTAGAGCTAACAATAATTTTTCTCTTGTTCTGTAGACTGCTAAATTTTTATTTAATTCAGAGAAAAAATAAGCTTATTTATTTAAAACATGTTTGCAATAAGCAGCATTGCTTCTTACTTACTTACAAAAGTGGGAATGGTATTTCTTGTTTCAGGGCATTCAGCATGGATTTCACTATGGTGCCTGCATGAAGTTCATGGTTGGTTAAAAAAAAAGTAAAACAATGAGTAGTTGAATGCTTGTTGCTAATTTATATTCTACATGGCTACTGAAACTCACAATTTCTTCATTGTAATTAAACTTTATTAAGGAAAACTAGAGACTTCGCTTGAAAGAGAGTCTCCTTCATGAACAAGTAATATTCCGTGCACCCAAACAGACTAGTGTGACACAGGATTCCATGTGCACAGCCCCATAATCCCAGAGCCTCTACTCCGGGAAGTTTACTGGCTTCTGTCTCTTATTTTGGGAGAGGAAATCATGGGGTAGGAGGACAGTAACTTGGCTGACAGCCGCTACTGACTGATAAAGGCGATGTCATTTGCAGTCTGTTCCACTGCATTTTGGGATCTCTCACGAGTCTGAGTCGATTATATTTGCCAGCGAATCTCCTTTTCTAAGTTATATTTGAAAGACGAAAGGAAAGCAGGAACTGGAGGAAGCCTAGGCATGCATGAAATGAAATGTTTAGCAGGCTAGGGTCAGCCTGGAAGCTTTGTAAAGAAAAGAGAACAGCATCAGAGGGGATCTTCCATGCTTTCAGAGAGTACACCAGGATCAAGGGAAAACTCGAGGATTAAAAGAAGGAATGGATGGAGGGAATTAAATGCAAGGAATGTTGCATGCCCAGCTCTGAAGTACTAAGCTAATAAGAGCTTAACATTTATTGGCCCAGGTAAAATCTTCAGAGAAATGGCAGCGAGGTGCATACCCTAACAAGACTAGAAAATGCTAAGTCACCCTGTCTAGTGTGAACAACCATTATTCTTTTCCATTAAGCCCTTCTTAGATACTTCAAAGACTCACTTCATTAAGACATTAAAGATACCTGAGCATTCCTCTGTGCCTTTGCTTATATTTGCTCAGAGAACAAGTTCATCGTGGCTGAGCTGTTCTTGAACACCTGGCCACTCACAATAACCTTAATGGCTTTCTTAAACCAGGGATAAAATAAGGCATAGATCAAAGGATTCATGGCTGAGTTGTAATAAGCACACCAAACACAAATCTCATAAATGTAGGCTGGGGTGATGAATCCCATGAAAGCATCAACTAATGAATCAATGCTATATGGCAACCATGAGACCATGAATGCTACCACGGTGATTCCCAGGGTTTTGGCTGCTTTTCTCTCTCTCTTTGCCACCCTGTCTTTGTAATTCTCTGAGGATGATTCTGTTTTGCTACCAATATTTTCTATCTTTTTAGCCTGTTGCCTAGCTACCAGAAAAATATTACCATATAGAATTATCATAACAAGGGTTGGTATAAAGAAGGAAAGAAAATCTATCAGCACCCAGTTCTGATTCACAACTACCTGACACCCTCCTACACAGTTGAGGGCACTGGATAATTCCTCCAGGCCATCATCATAGACCCCTGTGTAGAACACGGCACCACTGTACACCAGGGGCAGAATCCAGGAGATGCTGATGCAAATTCCTGACACAGACACCGTGAATTTGGTGGGATAGACCAGAGGGTCAGTGACAGCGATGTACCTGTCGATGGAGATGAAGCACAGATGGAAGAGAGAAGAGTAACAAAATGCTACATCGCAGCAGGTGTGGAAAGTGCAGAAGTTTCTCCCAAAGTACCAGCAGCTCTCGATGGACCTGACCATGCTGAAGGGCATCACGGAGACTCCCACCCAGAAGTCAGCACAGGCCAGAGACGCAATGAGGAAATTGGTGGGAGAGTGCAGCTGCTTGAAATGGAGGATGGATATCATCACCAGGAGGTTTCCAAACACTGCCAGCACAGCCCCACAGCCAAAGACTGCGTAGAGGATGACCCGGGATGCAGGCGAGTAGGGGGTTTTCACACAGGACCCATTTACATTCTCATAACAGAGCTGTAGGGCTGCAGACGGAGAGGAGTTACTACCCATGCTGCTGCTGTTTGCACGGGCAGAGGAAGGTCTGGATTTGATGCTCAAGATTCAGGAATTCTAATTTTCATTACTGTAAAGGGAAGAAGTCCACACCAATCCAGTAGGATGACAGGGGATATTATGAGATGTTAAGTCGAATAGAATTTTTCAATTTTAATCATTCTGGCAACTTCTAAACATTCTCTGGAACAAAATAAAATCCAACAAACAAATACTTTATGGTGGAAAAATTATTAAGTTTAATTTTAATTAACAAATGATTCCTTTTCTTAATTGGTTAAATTTTCTTTGATTCTTAAATATGTTTTTATATTTCATTTTTACCTCTAGTGTTCCTCTGGTTGCAGTCGTAACAGTGGAGGCAGCTGTGGAGCTGTTGGCTTTCCTACAGATTTACTTCCTTGTTACATGTCTTAAACGACTGCCTAAAGGAGGTGGTCCTTCAGCTAAATAGACGCCACCAATGGGAAAACCCCTAGATGGAATCCCAGTGGGGCCAGGTGTGAACCAATAAGATTATATTCAACAGTGATTATCGGGAAGGTAAATCTACAAAACAAGTATTTTTTTACATTAATTACTATTAAGAATCTTAGGCCAAATAATTATTTTTTCCTTTGATTACAGACTTGAACCAGGCCTTTCTTCTCAGTCATGACTCAGTCGCCTTCCTGGGATTTTAGAAAGATATGATGGGGCTATAAGGTTTAAAGGTCAACATGGCTCTTCCCAGCCTGATAAGAGTCATTTATGCATCTATCACCGGCTACCAAGCAGCAAGATAACAAGCTACGGGAATACTACACTGAAGAGAGATGTATCATATGAAGGCCGTAAGGAACTACATGGACTAAATGCCAGCTGTATGGCATTTAGATGCAGTAGCTTTCCTCAGGGACTACTGAGATGATTCTGCTCTCAAGTCATTGCTACCTGGACCTGTGTGCAAAGTCTCTCCATTCACTCAACACACCTGCAGTGAGCCCTTGGGTGGCACCTTCCTCCATGGTCCTAGGAAGATTTCATTTTACAAAGGACAATGCACAGGGAGTGAGAACTCTGAAACGGATTTTGTGTTCACAGTCTCAAGCCTGGCAGAACACTGCAGACTAAGGGAAAATACTTTTCAACCTTCCTGATGAAGAATTCAAGTCTCTGGCAGTACAGGACTGGAGTCATGCAGACATTTATAAGCTCCTGTGGTATATTATAAAGAGCAAGAGGTATTTCTTTATTCATCATATTGGCTGCCTCATCACAAATCAATAAAATCAATACTTTTATTCAGATATCTTTCAGGTTTCTCCAAACATTTTCTTAGTGTCTGATTTTATAAAATGATTTCAATTGCTTATAGTGAAAAATCCTACGCCAGGCTTTCCTCATCTATGTTCTATAAACATCAGAAACAGTTCTATGTGTTGTGTGGCACCAAGTGCACAACCAATAATAGCCACTTCCACCCCCTAGTAGTGACTGTCTCTAAACATTGTCATATATCCTCAGTAGGCAAGTTTACCCCTTCCTTCCACTGAGACCTATGGTCTAGTAAATAAAAATCTTCCCATTGGAATCCTTGCTATTGGGTAGAGAAATAACTTTATAGTTCACTCTGTCCTTGAGATTTATTCATTAATTAATTTATCTACTCAGAACATAGTGGATGTCTGTAACTCAATATAAAGTAATGAAAAAATACATGCCATCTCTGTGATCATAAATCCTAAAATTTTGAGGATGAAGCAATCCTGAAGCATTAAGTGGCGAGCTGGGAATGGGACTATAGCACCAGTAGGGAAAGGACAATGCTTGTGATAGTATAGAATGTATCAGACCAGGCAGATCCAGTCCCAGGGATCCTAAAATAGGGTTATGCAAAGAGCTGCTTTAAGATTTGTACAATTCTAACTATTCTATTTTTTTTTAAATTCCATTTAAGCCCAATAGCAGAACCTAGGCTTACTTGTTTGTGCCTTGATGTTTACTAACTCAGTAAGCAGCACTTCTCCCAGTACTGAGGTGGGATGTAATTAGAGGCTTGTCCCAAGGCCTCTAAAATTCTTGCACAAATATGACTTTCCTAATGTTGTCCCCCCCCCAAGCTATCTTTAGTAAATAGTTTGTCAACATTGGGAAGAAGTCCTGATTCCCATGGGTTTATGACTTTAATGCTCAGGAAAGGAGCCTCAGGAAAACTTTTGGTTCTTACATCAGATGAAGTTTTCCTTCTCATTTCTGCACTTGATCTTTAGTATGGTCCTCCAAGACATTTCTAATGAGAACATCTCCCCAGTGACTGAAGGTGTGAAATAGTCCTCATTATGACCAAAGTAAGAGAAGGGTGTGATAATGATGGCCTTTGGTCATGCAGAGCACAAACTGGGAAGGGTGTTAGTGAGAGGAAGTGTTTTACTCCTGTCTCTATGGATTAGAGGCTGGAGGGAGCCAAACACCAGGCAGGATGAAGACTCAATGTGTAACTAAAGCACACTGGGCATTGTGTCCATGCGGCCAGCTTTCTGGCAATGGTCTCCGAAGCCCAATGTGTTAGTGCATTACTGAATCAACTTGATTCTCTCCATCACCACCCAGGGTTGACAAGTGTTTCTCTAAGTGTGCGTTAACTGCTTATGCATACTTGGAGTAGAGTGAGAAGTTGTAAGAAACCATCTTTTCCTCTTCAGTTGCAGTTTAGCAAGGGTTTCCTTCTTCATCTGCCAGTCAGACCACACTTGCTGACAGTCTGACTGACTGTCTAGTCACTGTGACCACCAAAGACTTCCATTTTAGGACTTCAGTCAGGGCTTCAGTCCACACCTACTTGAGTATGTCTGCCCTCAAAAAGCCTGATTTTAGGCATAAGATTACTTCTTTATACACAAAAATTAATTAATTAATTAATTAATTAATAATAAAAAGGACAGGGTCTCTTTGAGTAGCCCTGGCTGGCCTAGAACTCACAGAGGTCCTCCTGCTCTGCCTCCCAAGTGCTGGAAAGGCATGTGCTATCATATCTGGCAAGAATTTCAATTACAATTTAGTTCCAACATTCTTTCTTTCTTTTTTCTTTGGTTTTTCAAGACAGGGTTTTTCTGTGGCTTTGGAGGCTGTCCTGGAACTAGCTCTTGTAGACCAGGCTGGTCTTGAACTCCGCCTGCCTCTGCCTCCCAAGTGCTGGGATTAAAGGCATGCGCCACCACTGCCAGGCCCAACATTATTTCTAAGCTTGAAATACCTGTACTAGAAGCAATGTTTACTACTTCCCCTCATATTATAGTGTTTGAAAAATGCATGCAACATACAGTTATATGATCATATACATAATATCTAAAAGGATTCACTCTCCCCCACACACCAACTCAAGTCCTCCCTATGTAGCCCTGGATATACAACACAGACAAAGCTGGCCTCATACTCACAGAGACCTGTCCACCTCTGCCTCCTGGGTGTTGAGGTTAAAGTAACAAACTCTTCCCTGTTTTATCTTCATTCATGGTGATGTCTGAGAGGTCTATACTCTTACTGTGGACCTCAAGCAAATCAAGGACATTATAAAAGTAACCCCCCTCACTCAAAGTAATGAAAAGAGAGGGGGAAAGAAGCCAGTGAATCTTATATGAAGTTTGCTGTGCTTCTACCTCTGAGCCAAACCACACTGGTGTCATGCCATAAGCATGAACTATTCAGTAAGCTCTGCCACAGGCACTGCACTCCCTTGTTACTGGGCATCAGGTTATTTTTATTTGTGCCCTGCATATTTACTCCTCAGATTTTGTAGAATGTATCATGCATAGTTGACATACTGTTAAATGAGGAACCAGAGGAAAGGGACAAACCTGGATGCCCCTCCTTTCTAGGCCATATGGAACTCATGGATCATTGTTTTCTAGAGAGAGGTGCATAAGGCTTCTCCCTCTCTCATTCCACTTTTCCTGCTACCAGTGTGCTTAATTCCAACTTAATTTTCTCAAAATGAATAAAAGTGGATTCTCAAGGCCATTGAATAAAGAAGCCTAAAAGAGAATGAAGCTTGAATTATTTTATCCATAGATTCTTCAGTAGAGAGATGGACAGAATGACCTCAAGCACATAAGTCTGTATGGTTTCCACATTCAGACTCTAAATGAGAGCATGACGAGGTCAGCTGGAGTACTAGGTATCTATTGTGAACATACATTTCCAAGAGAAGTCACACATGAACCCAGTCACAGAGCCTGTCAAGCCACTTGAGCACATAGTTTCACTGGTATTACTTTTAAAATCCTCTTAGAATGCCCCCCTCTTATATGTAGGAGAGAGAAAGCATATGGAGTCAAACTGATCGAAAAACCAAAGAACCACTGTCTAACACAAACAGCAGGAGGTGGCTACAGGACTAAGAACTAGCTTTTCCTCAGTGGAACCAGAGAAAAATTCTATGCCCTAGAAAGAACCTACAGAGAGAATGATGGGTGAATATAATAAAATCAACTCTATAGAAAGTTTCATCTGGATTAAAGAAATGTTCAAGCATCAGAAAGTGTCTATCAACATCATGCATTCTTTTTCATTAGGAGAAGATAAAATAGGAGATTAGAAATTACTAGGGATTAAGACAGATTCTTGGGTTTGTATCACTAAAGGGTGTTTATTTGATTAACATCTGCTTTGTAGATGTGTAGAAATATCACAGGGAATCTTAAACAGATATAACAAATATATGTCAATAAAATAATTAACAGGACAGCCAGAATAAAGACAGCAAACAAACAGGCACTAAGCTCAGATAAGCATGAAATGAAATCATATAGACTTCTTAGAAAAGGAATAAATAATAATGAAATTCATCCTCAGTATACTGGCTATTGGAAGACAATAAAGACATGCTTTCAGGCCAGGGAGAGAGCCAGTAAATGGGAGCACTTGCTCTGAGAGCTTGAAGACCTGACTTCAAATCTTCAGAATCTATGTAAAAGGCTTTTTACATGGACATGCATGTCTTTAACACTGGTGCTGGGAAGCGATGACAGGTGAATTATAAGAACAGGCACCCCAGCAAGATCAACCTTGGTGAGCTTCCAGTTCGTGAGAGATCTCCTCTCAAGACAATACTGACAGTGACAGAGGATAACATTGGATACCCTTTTCTGAACTCTCTCTCTCTCTCTCTCTCTCTCTCTCTCTCTCTCT